TGATGAAGATGAGGATGAAGATGAGGATGAAAATGAGGATGAAGATGATGATGAAGATGAAGATGGTGATGAAGATGAGGATGAAGATGAGGATGAAAATGAGGATGAAGATGATGATGAAGATGGTGATGAAGATGGTGATGAAGATGGTGATGAAGATGAGGATGAAAATGAGGATGAAGATGAAGATGAGGTTGAAGATGAGGATGCAGATGTGATGATGAAAACTACAATAAAAATCTCGATGACGTCACTATAAATGGCTGTGATGATGGCAGTCATATGATGATGACGATGATGATGGAAGTATTAATTTAGAAAAGTGATATAAGAAGCGACTGATTAAACATTAAACAAAAGTGATTAAACTCTATCATCAGCACGAGAAATACATGTAAGAAGTTTTTGCTTGGCTCTCTACATTTGAAAAGAACAACTAAATAAAAATAAATTAACTGAAAGAGCAAAAAAATGTATAGAATACGAAATTTTTATTTAAAATATTTTACGAGGTCAAATAAAATATTTGTGTATGTTCTTTATTTTGAGCTTATATATGTTTGTATTCCTGTCTGCCTGAGTGTGTGCATGTGTGTGTGGTGTGGTGTGTGTCTGTGTGTGTGTGAGTGTGTTTGTAAATTGAGAGCCAAGAAAAACCAATTATACAATCTTCTTCACGACTTTTTGTTTTTATTAGGAATAATTTTATTTGACATAACTCTGACGGCTGTGCATTGTTCGGTCATTAATATTAATTTATGGTAACATCTAGTGAACATATAATAGGCAATGAAAAAAATTTAGGTAAGCCTTCGTGTATGTTTGTGTATGTGTGTCTAGGTCTCTCTCTCTCTCTTTCTCTCTCTCTCTCTCTCTCTCTTGCTTTCTTTCTCTCTCTTGCTCTGTATGTGTGTTTGTTTGTTTGTGTGTGTTTGATAAAATCAAAATGAAAATTTAAAAAAAATCGCAATTTGTAAGCCAACTTTTACTCTTTTATTAAATTTTTTAAAAACTAGACATGAATATAATTAACAAGTTTAATTATTTTTTAAATAATAATCATTTATTCATCTAAATCATTGTTAATTAGTCTATTAATTATTTTTATTTATTCATTTTTCATTCAATCAACGCGTCGTTATAACGAGAATGACCTTGCGAAATATGATTTCGAGACTTTTTGCGAGACGAAATACAAGAGAACTCTTTATCGTTATATAAACAATGGAAAAAAAATCATCAAAAAAAAATGTCTGAAAAATAAATTGAGGTATGAATGTGTGTGTGTGTGTGTATGTGTGTGTGTGTGTGGTTCGTTAGTTTGTGTGTATAAATTTTTATGTATGTGTATGTATGTCCGTGTATATGTTTGTTTCATTGCATTCATGGGTGGATGTTGATATATCTATTTACGTGGGAGTGTGTGTGTGTATGTATGTGTGTGTAAGTGAGTATGAGTATGTGTGTGTGTGCTATGTATGTGCGTGTATGTATGTGTGTGTGTGTGGTGTGTATGTGTGTGTGTGTGTGTGTGTGTGTGTGTGTGTGTGTGTGTGTAACTCGTGTGTGTGTGTAACTCCCAACGCAGCAGTACCTTTCATCATCACTACTAGCTTCATTGTTGTTTTATGAATGTCTGTTTTTTATTATTCTTATTTTTCTCATTTGTATTCCCATTCTTTTTGAAACCCCATTATTATTATTATTATTATATTATTATTATTATTTTTACTATTATTATTATTAGTAGTAGTAGCGGTGGTTGTAGTAGTAATAATAGTAGCAGCAGCAGCAGCAGTAGTAGTAGTAGTAATAGTAGTAGTAGTAGTAGTAATGGTAGTAGTAGTAGTGGTGGTATATAAGCCCTATTATTAAAACCTTCATTAATATTGACATTATCAATATCATTTTAATTATTATCATAATTATTATCATAATCATCATCGTCCTCATCATTATCACCATCATCATCGTCGTCGTCGTCGTCATCATTATCATGATGTTTGGCAGCAAGTGTAGTAGCACGTTTAATGATTTGTTATTCTTAATGTCTCGTACTGATAATGATGATGAAGACGACGATGATGATGATGATGATGACGACGACGATGATGATGATGGCATAGGGATGGTGATGATGAAGGTGATGGTTTTGCTACTATTACTATCACAATTATCGTTACTACTAGCATTACTGTTAAAATTTCAACTACTAAAATTTGCACCTATGATTCTAATGTTATTATTTTTAATATTATCACCCTTACAGCTATTACGACACTGACATAAAAGCAAAATAATAATAATAACAATAATAATTTGACGTCATCAACCTTGTTATGATGATGATGATGATGATGATGATGAGGTATTTATCGTTTCGTCTCGTCTCGGAAGACCGAACTCGAATAACTCATTAAAGTCTTGTATAAATAGAAAAATGCTTGTTATTTTTAGCAAATCCATCACTTGGTTATTTGTATTATCAGTGTTTTTTGTTATTATTATTATTATTATTATTATTATTATTATGGCAGTAGTAGTAGTAGTAGTAGTAGTAGTAGTAGTAGTAGTAGTAGTAGTAGTAGTAGTAGTAGTAAAAGCAGTAGTAGCAGCAGTAATAGCAAAAACGGAAGCAATAGAAACAAACAATATTTAGAAAAACCATAGCTAAAGAAAATAAAAAAATACGAGCATTAAAAAAGAAAAAAATCAATAGAATAATAAAAATAATAATATTAATTAATTAATAATAATAATAATTAATAATAATAATAATATTATAATAATATTAATAATAATAATAATATTATTAATTAATAATATTATTATTATACTAATAATAATTGTGCTACCAGCAATAAAAGCCATAACGAAAAAAATAAATAAAATTCCTCTGTCCGAGAGAGAGAAGGCAGTAATAATTAAAATGCTTTATGACGTGTCAGGTGGGTAGGACCTAGAAATACATTCGAGAAGTAATAAAATAATAATAAAAATATTAATATTAATAATAATAATAATAACAACAATAATAGTAATAATAATAATAGCCATTTTTCCTTAAATTCTTTCTTAACATCAACAACAATCATACAGCAAATATAGTAAGAAAATGTGAATCAACGAAAATCAATGCATTTGAGAGGCTAGGTCTTTCGTGTAATCGAACCCAGCCACTGCGAGAGCAGTGCCGGGCGCGTTAACAAATGAGCCACCAAATTACACAACGTAAACATAACGAAACAACATGCCAACCTAGTTCATGGTTGGTCTGGCAATAATCAGGAGAGAAATCTACGTAGACCAAATCATCTTTTGCCGGCCTCTTCAACTTTCTGTCTATCATCGATAGTTTAAATGGCTTTGGTTTTTTATTCCTTTTTACTGTTTTATTATTTTTATTTTTGTTGTTTCTATTGCGATTATGGTTATTGTTATTATTGTTGTTGTTGTTATGGGTGCTTTTCTTGTAGAAATGGTTCTTACCGATGTTACTATTTAAGACGATATCGAGGTTTTTACTCTTTCTGACCCGTTTAAACTCTTCAACTCTCCTATCACCACCACCAATTTTATAACCTTTTATAACTCTATGATTATTATTTACAACATGAACACCCGAATAATTAGCAGCAGTAGCAGTAGCTGTACCAGCTGCAGCAGTAACAGAAGTAGCAGCATAATCGATATTTGCGACATCTGCATGACTTCTGCTTAGAGACGTGTGGTAGTGGCTGATCAAGTTGTTTGTGTCGATGTAGACATGCTTTGCTGAGTTGTATTTGGACATGAGGAACTCTGCTATCTCGCTGAATTCAGCAGTTGAGTTCCAGCAGGTTCGAACCGTGCACGAGCCACTGGCGCCATAGCACGTGCAGTTTAGTCTCAACGATTTTCTCACTGCCTGTTTGTGTATGTGTGTTCTTTTTAAACAGCAAAATAACTGTCGGAACAGCGAGGCGATGAATTTGAAAACAAATTCAACAAATATTTGGTTAACATTATCCCAAACAAGTTCAAGATAAAAACAAATGATCAAACTATTCAGTTGAAGCAAGCAAACATCATCCAACTAACAAACTGACCCTTCTCCCAGCTGCATTGTTTCTCATTCTCATCAAATCAAGACCACTTTTTGGTCCGACCTCATTCTCGTCGTCAATGAAGTCCCTTGCAAATTTTTCCCCAAACGCCAACTCATCCCTGCAGCCACTCCACTTAAATGACGACGTTACGAAGCGTTTTCTGATCGCGTCGCTGTTGCCGCCACTACCGCAGTTGCAATTTTTAATTTTGCCGCTGTAGCAGCGTTTGTGGACTGTGTGGACGACGCTTGCTGTAGTTAGTGCTTGCAGAAATGCCGATTCACGGTGGCCTGGTGTGGTAATGTGTGGTTTGGTGCAGCGTGCAATCGAACTGGGTCATCAAAGTTTTAATGAAATTTAAGGAACAAACCGCTGAGTTCCATTTTTCCAAAGACATGTGGACCGTTGGCGAATGTCGTGCAGTTCCACCTGGCAAAATATTTGTGGTCATGTGTGGCGTGTGAGGTCGTGTGTGGCGGGCGCATAATTTGCGCTGTCATTGTGTGTGTGAATATCCAATATACAGAGAAGAAAATTACAATCTGATGTGTATGCTTCACGCATAGCACCTACAACGATTCAATTCAACAAGCCTTAACCAACCAGCATACTCTCGTGTATAAAATTGTACTTGCGTGAAAAACATTACATCCAACACGTCTTTGATAGACGAGGAATTTTTTCAAAACAGTACCACAAAGCCAAATCAGCACTACAACGCCATCTAGGCAGCTAAAATTCAAACTCACACAAGATCAAACTGGAAGTAGTTAACAAAACCGGAAAAACTAACTAACCTTCGATACTTAAACAATCTCTTGCACTCCTTAATGGACATCTTAAGGCCGTGAATGACCGCCCTCATAAGATCGAGCCTTGTATAACAAGTCTCTCGCTGCTTTTTACTGAGGTAAGGTTGTTGATGTCTGTAACAGAGTCTGTATGCATCGTATTCGCGATCATCGAACGATTTGGTGGCAATCCTGCTAAACGTCCTGTCGAGATGAAGTGTGTGTGTTTGTGTTTGTGTGAGTGTGTATGTGTGTGTTTGTGTGTGTGTGAGTGTGTATTAGTGTGTGTGTGTGAGTGTATTAGTGTGTGTGTGTGAGTGTACGTGTGTGTGTGTACGTGGTGTGTATTTGTTTGTATTATAAAAACCAATCGAAATACAAATTCTGTGTGTGATTGTGTGTGTGTTTGTGCTAATCTGTTGGATGTTTTCTAGTATGCGTGCGTGTGTGCGCGCGCGCGCGTTATAATACAATAAGGGTAATAACAAAATTCTTAATAAAAAATTCCAATAAAATAATAATAATAATTATTATTACTATTATTATTTATTGGCTATAATAAAAGCAAATAATTCGTATTATTAAAAAATACATTGGAACCGGGTGCATACATGAGAGTACCATCTCTCAACACCTAACTCAATAACATAGTAATAATAATAATAATAATAATAATAAAAATAATAATAATAATAATAATAATAATAATAATATTCATCATTATAATTGAAAATACAAATACACAAAAGAATAAACAATCGGTTACATACAAACACACGAACGCACACACGCACACACACGCACGCACACACGTACGCACACACACACAAACATTTACTTGGCAAAACGCTGGAGAAAATAAACACATATAGACATGCACACACACACACACACGCACAGCTAAGCATACAAACATAGACACAGACACACAAATATTTTGATACACATACAACTACACATGCACATAGGCAAACATTTAAAGACACATACATTTACTTAATGAGATTTAACAAATAAAAATTTTACATAAACAAAATCCATCCATGCATGTATGTATAATGTATATACTAATTGACATAGCAACAACTTAATTAACAACATTTTTGTTTCATATAGCATAGATATATACAATAATATAATTTACAATTGAATGTGCGCTTGTGTGCGTGTCTGTATTTTTAAAAGTGTGTGTGTGTGTTTGTTTGTGTTGCGTGTGTGTGTTTGTGTGGTTCAATTTATGTATGTGTGACGAAAATGATTTAACGCAATAAGTTTGAATTCATTCAAAACTTCAATGTAATTTTAGAATACCATGATTTGTGTGTTTCAGTGCTTGGGTTCGAATGTATGGTAAGTTTGTGAAACCGTTAGAACGTACGTATGTGTTGAAGATGGCAATTTTGAAATAATTCAAAATTAAAAAGAGCTATCATCACTTTTTAACTTTTTAAAGAATTTTATGCTACTTTTAAAGTGAAAGGCACATTCGTTCATCCATTATGAGACTGATGAAAATCTAGCATATGTGTGATGGTTTTATTTCAGTCCAGGCACTTCCAATATCTTTTTATGTGTGTGCGCGCGTGTGTATGTATGTATGTATGTGTGCGTGTGTACGTGCGTGCGTGTGTCTGTGTTTGTGTGTGTGTACGTGCGTGCGTGCGCGAGTATGTTTTGTTCTAACAGATTTATCGTTTTTTTGATTCGACTAAAATATCGCCCATTTTTCTTCATAAATTTCACAAATAAAAGTTTGAAAAAGTATTTTTATGTATGTGTGCGTGTGTGTGTATTTGTGTGTGTGTGTATGTGTGTGTGTATATGTGTGTGTGTGTGTATGTGTGTGTGTGTGTGTGTGTAAGTATGTACGTTTAAACAATTCATGAAACACGAAAATATAAATTTATTTATTTATGGCTTTATCTTTATCCACACATACACATGTATTTTGTGTTTGATTATTATTCATTTATGTATATGAATATGTATGATTTATGTTGGGATCGTTAATCAAAAGGTTCGAAGAGGTTGAGTGTGTGTGTGTGTTTGTTTGTGTGTCTGTGCTTGTGTGTGTGTTTATGTGGTGCGTGTTTGTGTGTGTGAGTTGAATTGAAACAGGTTTGAATATTTTGTAGCACTTGAATAAATGTGTATAAGTAAATATAGGTATACTAAAATTGATACAATACAATACAATGATACAAGAAAATAGAAAGTCACAAACTAAAATACAAAACATACAAAATACAAAAGAATACACAATGAAAACATACAAAATACTAAAGATTATACAGTGATAACATACAAAACACAAAAGAATATACAATGAAAACCTACAAAAGAATATACAATGAAAACATACAAAAACACAAAATAATATACAATAAAAACATACAAAATAATATACAATGAAAACATAAAAAAGAATAAACAATGAGAACATACAAAATATAAAATAAATATGAAAAAAACCCCAAGAACAAGGATATCATAAATATTTGGATGTTTTTATTTAACGTTGTAGGGTCGTATCACGGCGTATAAGATAAGTTACCTTACACTACTATTTCATCTATTATTAGATGAAGATGACGAAAAAGATGATGATGGTGATGAAGAAGAAGAAGATGCTGCTTTTTCTGCTACCTCTAGTGGTGGTGGTGGTGGTGGTGGTGAGGACGGTGATAGAAGTGAGACGATTTTGCAGCAGCTGTAGCTACTATGGCTGCTTCTGATGAGGCTAATAATGCCAAAAAATAAAAATCAGTAGTAAAAAAACTGGCAAAAAATATCTTTTTTTTTTATCAAGGTATGTACAAAATTAAACTGTAAACAATGAAATTCGTTTCTTTTTTTGGCTTTTTTTTGTCAGCAGAGTTCATTTTAAATTATACTGGAAGAAAATTTTTGAAATCTTTACAAAATGTTATAGTTGCTATTAGTTGTAGTAGTAATAGTATTAGTAGTAGTAGTAGAAGTGGTAGTGGTAGCAGCAGCATCAAAAACAGAAGCAGTAGCAGTAGTAGAAGTAGTATTAGCAGTAGAATGAAGAGTATATATTTATTTCTGCACATCTAATTATTTATATGATACCGAGTTATGTAAGAAACTACACCAACGTAAATCTCCCTTTAATTTATGACTGTTTATTGTTCCAATTTGACGGCTAATTCTCAACTGACTCTCCATGAAACTGTTAAGAAAACATTCTTTTATTCGTTCGTTCGTTCGTTCGTGCGCTCGTTCGCGTTTGTTCACACATTCGTCGTTCGTTCGTTCTGACTATATTCTATCTACATTAATTTGTTTTTTATTCATTCTTTTTTATCAAGTTTGCCGTCAATTATGGGGTTTTCACACCACACACACACAGACACACACACCACACCACACACACACACACACACACACACACACACCACACATTACATAGATTACTTCAACTTTTATAAATACAAATAGTCAAACACGTTACCTAGATGGTTATAATTAGAAGCGCTAACCAACTAAATGGTGTTTAGACAGTGCATAACTCAGGAATAGAAGGAAAGAGCTCAGCATTAAAAGGAATCATAAATATAAGATACATCACTCTCAAAACTAAAATAACCCTAAATAGGCATTTGGTTTTGTCATTAGATTTTTTTAGAAAATTATTTTTCCGTAAAAAAAAACTTGATTTATGATAATTTGGTCCGTATGTTTAGCAAAAAAAATATAACTTTTCCCGATCGCTTAGCATCTTTTTGTTTTGCCAATTTGAAAGTTGTATTCATCACTAGACAACTGTCGTCTTCAGTTAGATGCTAAATATGCGTCGGCGCTATTTATAGTTGAGTTCGAGCGTTTATATGACATGATAAATTAAATTTATATACACATGTGCGTGAAAGAGTGTGTGTGTGTTTGTGCGTGTGTTCGTTTGTGTGTGTGTTTGAGTTCAAGATTATAGTTACTCTTAGAGTACCATATATTACATTAAAGGGTATATACATATATATATATATATATATATATATATATATATATATATATATATATATATATATATATATATAATCTAAATATCTAATTTTTCATTTAATGTTTTTTTTAATTTGAAACATTTTTAATAAAATTAAAAAAAAAACTAACCACCAAGATGATAGGGTGTGTCTGGCCATGGCTGGTTGGACGATGACATGCAGTAATGCGCATACATGCATCCAAGATACGTGCATTCTTATGCCAGACTTTCAAATACTACTAATACTGCTAATGTTACTAGTATTGATTGGAGTAGCAGCAGCAGTAGTAGTTGTTGTAGTAGTAGTAGTAGTAGTAGTAGTAGTTGTAGTAGTAGTAGTAGTAGTAGTAGTAGTAGTAGTAGTAGTAGTAGTGGTATTTGTAGTAACAATAGTTGTAGTAGTAGTAATAGCAGTAGTAGTTATAGTAATACTAGTAGTAGTAGTAGTAGTAATAGTAATATTATGCTTAAATTTACTCTGTGCTAATACTTAAACTGAATATAAATACTATTTTCTAGTAAAAACAGTTAGTACTTATATTACAACAGATACTAAAAAAGTATTACTAACTATAAGTATATAAGCATAGGTATTTATATTTTAAATTCACTGATGAAATTGTACATCTATCAATGATGTTAAATTGTTATGTGTGTATTGAAATATTTTAAGTAATGTCGCCATACTAATCATCGTTTGTTTCCACCTGATATTTATACTCCAATGGGTGGTTTCGAATTGAGTACTACTACCTCTCTTACTGTCAACGAGAGATTTATTCAGTCACTTTTAACACCATCCCTAGTATAAGCAGTCACAAATTGGTTAATATATTTAAAGTTTTACTAATTTAAAATCAAGTGATATTTCTTCAAGTTTTTTCTCAGTAAGCCTTCATAATTATCATTAAAATGGCAATTTTTATGTTAATAATAATAAAAATATTAATAACATTCATCATCATTATTATTATTATTGCTATTTTTGTAGTTATTGTCGCAACAAACAACTTATATAATTAATAATCATTCAAATTAATTCATTTTAATATTTACAATAATGCCGAATGAAAGAAAAGTTATTGAAATTAATAGGTGGAATCATTGCATTCCAC